CCCCCCCCCCCCCATGACTGGTCATGTGTGTGAGTCTCCTGAACTCATGCTAACTAACACGGGCATGTTGGCTTCTCTGATCCCCAGGACCCAGCGATGACTCTGAATAATGTCACCCTGCGCCGCGGCCACACGGGCATGCAGCCCCAGCAGCAGCGCTGGAGTATCCCAGCGGATGGCAGGCATCTGATGATCCAGAAGGAGCCCCACCATCACCACCACCACCACTCTGCTGCCCCTGAGGACCACTGCCGCCGGAGCTGGTCCTCCGACTCCACCGACTCGGTCATCTCCTCGGAGTCCGGGAACACCTACTACCGGGTGGTGCTGATAGGCGAGCAGGGGGTGGGCAAGTCCACTCTGGCCAACATCTTTGCGGGTGTGCACGACAGTATGGACAGCGACTGCGAGGTGCTGGGAGGTAAGTGGCCTGCCCATCCACAGTGGTCCAGGCAGAGAGGGTGAGCAGGCGGTTATTTTTCTGCAGAGCTGGGAACTGAGACGATGCATTCTTGGCACTGAGTCCCCAGCAAAGTCTTGGCACAGGCCCTTGGGGCAAGAAAATGAGAATGCTCCCAGATGAAGGGCAAGATCTCTTGAACTTGGGCCAGACAGGGCAGTTCTTAGATAATGATGTCCAAAGCTAGGGGGCAGGCTGGGCAAGCCCAGAGGGTCAGGGTCTCATTGCTGATGGAAGCTGACCTTGACCTGGACTGGGTTTCTCCCTCTCCTTACTTCTGCCCTTCCCTTGAGTGTTCATTTTGAAAGGAACACCTGAGAGGAGGGTGGGGTGCAGCAAAGGGGAGGTCTTCCCATGACTTACCCTAAGAGGAACCTTCTTCCAAGTATTCAGACCTAGGCTCTGCCTTGTATGCTTGGCGGTGCTTAAAACCAAACCACTTTGGAAATCTGTTAAGATGGTGTCTCTAAATGTCTTTCCCACCAACAACACAAATCTGGAAAACAGGCCCAAATCTATATTTGAAATAATACAATTTCTGGAATATAATTTGAAGAATGGTATTCTAGTATGTGTGTATTTGTGTGTGGGGGTGTCTTAGCCAGTTTTTTCTTTTTTTTCCAAACAGTGTGTAATTTCATTTAGATATTTACTAATTTAAACCTTGCCTATTTCCAAAACTGGTTTGGGGCGGTGTAGTTTCATGCATGATGAATTCCTTGACAGTGTGTAAAGCACAATCCGACTTTCTGGGAAGAAGCGTGCAGATCCTAATGGCCAGTGGTATTCCTCCAGCGTCTTTATCACAGCTCCGCAGTCTTAGCATCCATGGACAGGGGATCTGGATGGCACCAATGGCCACTATAGAAATGAAGTCCAGTGTTTGCCTGTCGTGGCAGGTATCAAGTGTCATGGCCTGCCCATTCTTTCAGTTTTCTCCAGATTCAGTGACCCTGCAGCAGGGAGATAGATGCCTTTAGTGATGACTCAGGTCCTCCCTCCCCTTGATGTGTTTTGAGTCAGTGCCTCAATACTATTTTCTTCTTTTTCGGCTAAACACCTTTCTGTATTTCTTGACTATCTCCGGTGTCAGGCAGTTAGGTTACTCTTTTGTGAGGCAGCTCAGGCATCTGGGCTGTAGGTGATGACTCACTGAAGGAGCATTGATTTTTTTGCATCCCTTCTGGATTCTCAGGGACTATAGTTAAGCCAAGAGTGCTGGGTAGAAATAGGACGGTATTGTACACGCTGATCCCTTCTCTATTGCAAAGGCTGAGGGGTTAGCTGTTCCTAGACAAGGAGAAAGGGAGGCAGGAGCTAAGTAACCCTGTTGGTGCCGTGGATTACGCATTGGGCTGCTGACCACAAGGTCAGCAATTCAAAACTATTGGCCGCTCCATGGGAGAAAGATGAGGCTTTCTACTCCCATAAAGTGTTACAGTCTTGCAAACTCACAAGGGCAGTTCTACCCTGTCATATATATCCTATATCCTGAGTTGGCTTAGACACAATAGCAGTGAGTTTTTAGAATAATGAAACAGATTAGAATTTGGGACTTTGGAATCTTAGGGTTTTTTTTAATTCTATCATATAAACCCAAAACTTAAAATGCAAATCAATTCTGATTCATAGTGACCTAATAGGACAGAGTAGAACTGCCTGTTTGGGGTTCTGAAGCTGTAGATCTTCACGGGGGCAGAAGGCTTCTTTTTTCTCCCAAGGAGCAGCGGGGGGGGTTACAATGCTGACCTTTTAGTTAACTTCCAAATACATAACTATGTCACTAGGGATTCTTCTATCATATAAAGGTGCATGTAAGGATAATGGAGAAATTCCATTATCTTCTTAATTCTTTTTGCCCTGTAGATCTTTCTCTCTCAGAGCAGCCGATGGCTTTGAACTGCTGATCTTATGGCAAACCCAATGCATCATCTACTCTGCCACCAGGACTCCTTTCTTACACATAGGCCAGGAACTGTCCTATATACTTCCCACATGAGTTTTGGATAATATTTAACAAAAATCAGACCATGATAGTATTGATATCCCATTGTACAGGTGAGCAAGTAGAGGATTATGAAGTAAAATGAATCCCCAAGGGTGAAAAAGCGAGTATGTAGTATGACCGGGTTTCACCTCTAATTGTCTTTGACCCAAGTATTGTATTCTTTCACTATACCATGTGCCCTAGCTCTACCTCCTAAATGCTGCACACATTGCAGAAATGGAAACATGCCCTTGTCTTCTCTAGCAGAGAATCTTTGACAATGAGAAACTTCTCTGATAATCCATCCAACCTAATGTGCCCTATTTGAGTAGCTTAATTTGTACCATCTGGGATTCTATCCCTTCTTTGAAGGTGGCTATTAGAATCACTTGTTGGCTTTGCATTTCCCAAGTGGAAGGCTTAGCTTTTCCAAGGCATGCCCTGTGTTGTTCTTTATTGGCATTTGCTGTAAGGGAAAACAAAACTCAACACAAATTCTCATTCTTTTAGTAAAGATGGCTGCTGTTACAGTTAAATGACAGGAATCTCGGCTACACACATTGTGTCGCTCGTTCAATCTTTTGAAAACAATGACTGGACATCTCCCGTATAACTTGGTGAGCCTCTGGGGGGCTTGCACAGATGCAGGTGGCTGCCTCCCTGCAAAGGCTCCAAGCCTGTAATGGAGCTTCTCCTCGTGCCAACTGCCAATCGAGGTGGGCTGTGGTAACCCCCTTGAAAGAGTACAAAGGGGTGCTGTAGATAGTCAGAGGAGAAAAGACTCTTTCTAGTTGGGGGTACCAGAAAAGCCTTCACATAAGAGCTGGTCTCTGATCTGCATTTGAGAACAACTAGGATTTGGAAGCCTCATGGAAGGGAAGAAGGCATGTCCTATGTGCACTTGGAAGTATGGGAAGCAGCACTAGGTTTAGGGTCTGATTCGATGAATTTGAACACCCTCTCTGACATTGACATGGCTGGGTGCCTTTGGCTAAACTACTCTACCTCCTCAAGCTTCCTCATTAATAAAATAGGAATAATACCTATTACCTAGGGTGCTATGAGGAGGAAAAGAAATAGATAACCTACATTTAACATGTGGCACAGTGCCTGACACATAGGAAGTGCAGAATAAATGTTAGTTATAGTTGCTTCTTAATCTACCATTTCCTTTCTATGTGTTTGCCTTCCAAAGCTGTTAGTTTCATTGCTTGTTGGTTTCCATCCACTCTGGTCACTCTTGCCTGGTGCCTTCCGAGGCCATGCAGATGTGACAGGAGTTACGAGAGGAGAGAATGGCATTTCTAGACAGGGTGCCTTCTTTCAGGGTGTCCGGGGCTATGGATGCTGAGGTTTAGGGGAGAGGGGTGCTGGAGCTTCAGAAGTTTTAAGTGGCTGTAGGAACCAATCTCACACCTTAAAGAACATCTGTGTGGGGTTCACCCACTGCAACTGAGCCAATCTTGGCCTGGGTCTTGGGAGAGGGAAAGATTCCAAGCACAAGGGGGTCAGATGAACGAAGACAGGCTGAGGTGAAGTAGTGCAGGAGTCATGGCGAAGGACCACACTTACCCAAGAGCCTCCACCAGCCCCATCAGCTGCAGAGAGAATACACCCTGACTTCCACCTCGGGAGAAAGACAGGGCTTTCTACTCCCGTAAAGAGTTAAACCCAGAGGAGCTGTTCGGCTCTGTCCTATTGGGTGGCTATGAGGTGGCTTTCACTCGATGGCTGGGAGTTTTTGCCTTTCCTCTTGAGCATGGGAGCAGTGAAAAGCCTCAAAGCCAATAGGCCTCACATCATGTTCTACCGACCTGAATCCGTTGTCCCTGAATCCACTCTGTCTCATGGCAATCCTGCTTGTGTCGGAGGAAAACTATACTCCCAAGGGTTTTCTGGGGCTGGGTTTTCAGAAGTAGATTGTCGGCCAGGGCTTTCTCTGGAGGCTTCTCTGGGTGGACTTGAGCCACCAGCTTTTCTGTTAGCAGCTGCAGAGCACATTACCATTGCATTGTGCAGGGCCTCCCCACAAACCTTAACCCAGAGTAAACCCCTCTGTGCACCAATTAACACTTGAAAAGGCTGCAAGGTGGGTGGAAAAGGAAGCAAGAGAAACCTAGAACTTCCTTGGGTTACACAGGGGCTCATCTCTGGTTAGTGGTCGGCCTCAAATTAGAGGCAGGCACTGTGTTGGAGGAAGATCCTTGGGGCATGCAGCCAGATTCCATATATAAATGGAGAAAGTGAAGGTATATTGTCCAAGGCTTCCAGGTTCCCAGCACAACGATTTGTTGGTAAGGGTTAATGCCAGACAAAGTATTTTGACTCTACTTTCACGACTGTAATCCACAGTCTTCTTTTTCTTTAAACTTGCTCTGCTAGCTCTTCAACCGAAAGCGTGAGTCTCCTTTCCCCCTTAGACTTTAGTTGCATGCAGTATGTTTCTGTTTGAATTGCTTGGGATTCGAGCGCGTGCTTGGTACATGTTCCTTTTACCTGCTTTTGGGGAATAGTGAAGGACTGAAGATAGAACTGGGCTTCATTGAGAGTATTTTCTGAATGTGAGAAATGGGTTCAGAGAAAAGAAAGTCTACAGGTTTTAGTAAGGGTCAGTCAACCCCTTGATTTGTGCTGCCCAGGCTCTTCTGATTTGCATACATTTGTATAAATTTGCAAGTTGAGGCCTGAGGTCCTACCCTCCACTTAAGCAAAGTGGGTATCTTCCTGTGAACATATTCACGCTGCATCTTGTGGAGGCCACAAACATGCTGGGCATAACAGATTCTTAGTCCAACCAGTGGGCAACAGTTACCACTGATTAAAAGCATGACCCTTTAGGAGGTAGGGGACCTGACCCAAAGACCAAGCGGTAGTGAATTTTCTTCTCATTTGTCCACTTTTCCTTCCTGATTGTTCTAGTTACTAGATGATAACACATTAAGCCAGGAGCATTTCTTTTTATAAACCCCTCACTCAAAAACCAGTCACTGCCATTGAGTGGATTCCGACTCATAATGATCCCATAGTATAGAGTAAAACTAACCTGAGAATTTCCAAGACTGTAAATTTTTATAGGAGTAGAAAGCTTCATCTTTCCCATGAAAATCCTCACTCCTATGAAACACGAAATGCCCCGGTTGTGCCAACATCCCAAACCTGACTCATGGTTCCTGTAGGTACCTTCTAGTTGGTTCCAACTCATTTGGACCCTGTGCACAACAGAATGAAAGAGTACCCAGACCTGCCGCAGTCTCATGATTGTTGGTATGTTTGAACCCATTGTGGCGTCCTGTGCCAACCCATCTCATTGACACTCTTCCTCTTGTTTTACTGTTCTATTTTACCAAGCATGATGTCCTTTTCCATGGATTGATCTCACCCGATGACATGTCTAAATTGATGTGAGATGAAATCTTGCCATCCTTGCTTCGAAGGAGCAGTCTGGTGGTACTTTTTCCAAAACTGATTTTATAGAGACCTTATGTAAATCTTTCAAGGAGCAGACAGCCTCATCTTTCTCCTTTGGATCATCTGGTGGGTTTGAACCTCTCGTTCTTGAGGTTCTCAGTCCAATGCTTACCCAAAAATGCCACTAGAGCTCCTTCTACTGACCTAGAACTCTTAAACTAGTGCTACTGCACATGCATGTCTGTGAAGTTACATTAGGGTTAATTGACAGTAAGAAAAGCCAGACTAAGTAAGCATCTCCCTCTGAAGATGTGATGATGATGGCTGACATCAAGTTTCTACGTTGTGCTTAATAGATGTCAAACAGGCCGAAAGGGAAAGGTGGATGCTACTATTAATGTGATTTCAAAAAACCGAGTCTCAGCGAGTTGAAGTAAGTGGCCCAGCACCACATAGTCCAAAGGGATGACATCCTGATCCAAATTCTGATTTGCTTGTGCTCACAGTCATTATGACAGGTCTGTGACGGATTAGTGTGTTTATTTGAGCAGTTCCTACAGCATATGGCCAGCGTGCTTCTTAGAGTTAAGAATGACAAGACTTGAGTCCTTTGGACTTGTTGTCAGGAGAAGTCCCTGGAGAAGGACATCATGCTTGGTAAAGTAAAGGGGCAGCAAGAAAGAGGGAGACCCTCAGGAGATGGATTGATGCCGTGGCTGCAATGGTGGGCTTGGGCACAGGAGCCCTTGTGACGATGGCCCAGGACAGGGCAGCATTTCCTTCTGTTGTGCACAAAGTGGATGTGGAACCTAAAAGGAACAGCACAGAGTGCCAGGCACTGTTCTAGGTGTTAGGGGACACAGCACTGCACACCACAGATGCAACTCTCTTCCCAACACTTCAGTGGGAAGGGGCGAAGGCATAGAAAATCATAAAGCATGCCCACGAACCGTATGGCAAGCTCACTGGTGATCCCGTAAGGTGCCAGATGAAGCGAAGAAGGAGAAAGGGCAGGGGGGAGGCAGGTGCTATGACACTTTAATGTAGATCCTTGGGAAAGACCTCGCCCAGAGGCAGATAAGGGAACAAGCCTCCCGGATAACCGAGGGAAAACATTTCCAGGCAAAACGATTTTAAAAGTCACCACGAGCATCAATATTGTTTAAAGGCTGAAATTTGAAACAGGAAAGCCCATTGGGAGAAGAGAGGAAGTAAAGATAGGCCCAGCTGTCTGCGGTTGATGGGGATCCATCCCTCGTGCCGAAATCTCCGCACAGCCGCATCGCTTCCCCAACCAGTCCCCGCACTGTCTTCTTTTCTGGGCCGGGGCTGCTGTGAACTTTAAGCTGTGGTGCGCCCTTCACCCTCCACCTCCACCTCCACTCAGAGCAGGTAGAAAGTTTCTATGACTCAGAGCTGGAGGCCTCCCTCCTGCGGTGTTCACAAGGCAATAGCAGCTCTCTTATTCCTAGAGAACTACAGTAAGAGAAGAAAACTGCATTCTTTAAGCAAGAAAGCTCCAGCCCAAACAAGGACAATCTCGAGATTATTTGTCTGTACTTCTTCAGAGAAGGACCGCTGGTGGCGTAGTGGTTATGCTTTGGGCTCGTAACGTAAGGTCAACAGTTCAAAACAACCAACTTCGCCAAGGGAGAAAGATGAGGCTTTCTACTCCCATAAAGAGTGATGGTCGCGGTCACCAACAGGGGCAGTTCTGCTCTAATAGGGTGGTTATAAGCCAGAATTGACTCGATGGCAATTTCTACAGAGACTTGTCTCTGAACTTCAAGCTGCTAAACTTGCCAGGGACTATTCAGTCATCGTTTGCTAGGGAGAGATGGGTTTCCACGGAGGCCTATGGAAAGAAGGCTTCCCGTTCCCCTGGGCAGTTAATGTTTCTTACAGCACTACCCACTGATCTGAGTCCAAATCGCTTAAGTGCATTTAACCTCATACATGGCTTTTCTGTATAAACTTCCCAGGAATGATGAAAATGAATGCCTTTCCCTTCCAGCTGCGTTTGATACCCAAGTAGGAGATGTAGGTGTGTGCTGCTTAGGAAGTACTGCGGGAATACATGTAGAACATTGTTGAAGATGATCAAACACTAGTAATGTGCTTTTGCGAATATCTGTGTACTTAAATAATCAAGTGCATATTTGAGAAGTTTAATTTTCTACTTGAGCCCCCTGATGAAGTGGCTGCCTGCTGTTTGCTACATGCTCCTCTTCTAAAAGAGGGCTGTGTGTTTGCCTGACCCCAACGTCCCTGTTGTTTCTTTTCTAGAAGATACCTATGAGCGAACCCTGATCGTTGATGGAGAGAGTGCAACAATTATACTCCTGGACATGTGGGAGAATAAGGTAGGCGGACTGCAGCCACTGGTGGATTTCTTCAGGGCCTTCCAACAGGCTGTTTGAGAGGAGGGTGACCTCCCCATGCAAAGGTGGTCTTCCGGACTAAGTGGGCTCATTTTTTTGATGGAAGGCATGTACTTCTGAAGGAGGAAACGGTTCTAAGTAACAGGTCATTCACAAATGGGCTCTGGATAATAAGCAAGTGACCGTGATTTTTTTTCCCCCTCTTTGGTTCTATTCAAAAATACACAAAAGTACATCTGTAGATCCTTGGGAAAGACCTCGCCCAGAGGCAGATAAGGGAACAAGCCTCGCGGATAACCGAGGGAAAACATTTCCAGGCAAAACGAGTGTAAACAAGGCTGGATGATTGTGTTATACTTGATCAAGCCAGCTGATACAAAGTTGACATTCTCAGTCTCGGTATTTACTTTGTAAAGATTTAGGGCTTTTTGAGGGTATGTGATTGGTTTATGACTCATTGAGAACCCTCCTTTTCTCACCAAATATTTGTAATTTATTACTTAGGAAAGGCAAAAGGGGGTTGGGGGGCTTCAGAAAAGGATCATTAAGAAAAAAACATTTAAAAAAAAAACAACAAAAAAAACATTTTTTATTGACATATAATTCATGTATCATACAATTCAATTGTTGAAATATATGAAAAGAGTTGTGCAATCATCATTACAGTCAATTTTAGAACATTTTCTTCATTTTTGTACTCATTTCTATTAGCTCCCGATTTCCCTTCAACCTCCCCTGCCATCACCCTAAGAAACTGTTAATCTAGTTACTGTCTCTATAGACTTACCTATCCTGGAGTTCATATAAAGAAAATCATACAAAAACAAACCAAACCAAACCTCTAACAACAATGACAAAATAAAACACAGAATTAACCTCAATCCAAAAGAAAGTAGAACATAATAAAAACCAGAACAAATTAAAAGGGAAAGCAAACAATAAGCTGTTAAATGTTAACCTACCTATATCTGATATATACCTATATCTGATATATATCTATGTCTCGCTCTCTGATGCACTGAGGGCAAGGCTATTCCCACTCCTGAGCAATGGTCTGAGGGATTCGATAGTGGCTGAATCCCCATGGGGACTCTGCATATGGACTTTGGGCTTTCACTGCTACCCATAGTTGTCTGTAAACTGGGTGCTCAGAATTTAAGTTCTAATACAATTCTTTCCTCTGATCTTGGATTTTATATTTACAATCCTTAGATCACACAGGGTAGTGTGTTTATTCCATGTATACACAGCTGATGCCCCACTTAAATGACTGCTTGCTTTAAGACTCCCAGATGCTATTCTTTTGTATAGAAAATGGTTCATTTTTGGTAGTTTAAGGTACGTAGAAGTTAGGCACTTTGTTTAGCAGAGTAGTTGTGTAATAGCAACCCAAGCTGTGAGAAAAATTGGAAAATGACATCTTTTGCTTGCCTGAGTTTATGCAGTCAACCAATCTATGCAGTCAACCAATCTGGCTATCAGGACAGCTTATCAGCATGGGAGACTAGCACCATTACTAAGAGGGTGCGGGGGCTGCAGCTTACCCAAGTGAAACTGTCAGTCAAAAGATTGTCTATAAAATTTCTGTGCAGTGTTTCAACAGAAATGCATTATTATTTCATAAAAGTATCTCTATAGTTAGTTATAACAGTAATAACTTTTTAAATGTATCAATATATCTAGGAAGCTAAAACTTTATGCTAATTTACTTTGTAAACCTTCTAAAGTGCTCTGGTCCAAGCTGTCATGATCACCCTTCAAATCACCTGGTGTCATCTGTGCAGTACTAGCTCACCGTGCAGTTCTTATTGCCGCAGGCATTCTTCTACCTGCTGGGTTTGCATGGTATGGTATGGGTTTGTATGGAGGGGGGTGGCATCATGAGTTACTACACACGGTGACGCCAACCCTTCTGGTGCCACTATGTAAGACAGGTAGGTTCTGGGGAGCTGGCAAGCAGTGTTCTTTATCTTCTCCGCAAGGGTACTGAAGGGTAAATGTACTGTTTCTCTTTAAAAGCACGCCTCGTGTGCCAGGCCGGCCTGCGCTCACGCAAAGCCTTTTCCTTTCCTCAGGGAGAGAATGAGTGGCTCCAAGACCACTGCATGCAGGTTGGGGATGCCTACCTGATCGTGTACTCCATCACAGACCGCGCCAGCTTCGAGAAGGCGTCAGAGCTGCGCATCCAGCTCCGCAGGGCCCGGCAGGCAGAGGACATCCCTATCATCCTGGTTGGCAACAAAAGTGACTTGGTGCGGTGCCGAGAAGTGTCTGTCTCAGGTAAAAGGAGGGGTGGCAGCACCATCGGGCAATCTCTGGAATGCTTGCTTTTTCCTTGACGCAGGTGCATTTCCTTCCCGTTTGCGAGGCTGGAATCGGGGACTCATGAAAATGTTACTTGGAGTTTTATGTATAACTCTAACGTCCCAGGGGCCCTGGTGGTACTGTTGGGTAAGCGTTAGACGGCTAACCATGAGGTCGGCAGTTCAAACCCACCAGCTGCTCCTTGGGAGAAGATGAGGCTGTGTGCAAGACAGTAACTGGATTAATGGCTTCTTGGGGAGGGTGCAAGCAAATGGGGAGCTAATAATAGGTATCAGAGAGAAGAAAATGTTCTCAAATTGATTGTGGTGATGGTTGTACAGACCTGAATAAGATTGAACTATGGGATTGTATGATATGCCAATAAAACGGTTAAAAATGTTTACAGCTTTTTGAACCGTAGAAAGCCAGTTCTTTCTGCCCTGGCAGCTGTGTGTTGGGATAGACTCAGGGGCAGGGAGTGTAAGACTCCTACTTTCTCACAGATGGGTCTTGCTGGATGTTGCTCTCTTTCTCATCTGGCCCATCTGTTAGCTTCCAAATCCACGCTCTACTTCAGAGAGTTCTCTGAAATTCCTTTAAGGATGAGATCCTGCTCAGGGCTTTATTGACCATATCCAACCTTTTCTCCTTTTGTCTCCAGGGAGATCCCAGTTCTCTGGGAAAATCCCCAAATTCCTTAGTCTTTATGGAGCTCCCAAAATTTCAGGGAACTAGAAGTAGCATCTTCATACAACAAGGATGGGGAATGCTGATTTAAGGGAACCAGGGAAAAACAGTTTCATTGGGAATATGAATTCTGTTCTGCCTGCCTCTCATCCCCATGGGCCCAAGAAATAAGCAACCCCTCTCTCCTAAGTTCTAGTTAAGGCATCAGGCGGATGGTGTCAAATACAAGTCTGGTTTTTCATACTTAGTTTAGGGATACTTCATGTTTATGCATTTCGTGAGTACTTGAGTATTATGGGCCTCATACAGAGTTGGAGGAGACTCAGTAGTGCTGCGGGTTATTCCTTGGGCTGCTATCCATAAGTTTGGCAGTTCAAACCCACTGGCCACCACACTGGGGAAAGATGAGACTTTTTGTTACCATAATGAGTTAACTATTCTATAGGGTCCCTATGAGTTTGAATTAACTCAATGGTAGTGATTAGTTTTTTTCTGTTTGGGCTAATACAGATTTAGTCCTCAGTACGATTGTTAAAAACAACAACAAACTACTATGTATCTGGAAAGAAAAAAAACTGAGAGAAACCTAAATGTACACTAGTTTGGGAATCTTACTATTAGGAAATGATCGTCTATAGTAGTCTTTTTTTTTATCCCACATAAAAACTTGAACAGATGGTCTTTGAACATGTTGAAATATGAAATTATAACTGTTCCTGGAAAGTTCATTTGTATTCTTTGATAGCAATATTATATATTTGTAAAATTCTCAGAATTAAAAAAAATTTTCCTTCTTTTTTTTTTTTTGTAAAGAAAAGAAGAGTGTGGTTATAGAATCCTTATTTCCAGTTCCCTCAGTTTAGGGATCTGAGAAAGGCTAGAATTAAGAATGGGGGCTTGAGAGTTAAATAGGCCTGGATATAGCTCTGCTGCTTTCAGGCCTGTGAACATCTCAATTGAAAATAAGCCTCCTGTATTTCTCTGTCTGTCTTGTAGCGCTAATAGTCAATGTTCAAGATTGTGGTGAGCATTCACACATGTTTATAAAGTACTTAACTCCGTTCCGGCTCACAGCAAGTATGCAATAACTCACTCAGTGGCCAATGCAATTCTGACTCAGAGCAACCCCAGGGTTTCTGAAGCTGCAAATCATTATGGGAGCAGAAAGCCTCCTCTTTCTCCTGCAGAGAAGCTGGTGGGTTTGAACAGCCAACCTTGTAGTTCAAAGCTTAGCACATAATCCGCGATGACACTAGGGCTCCTTAAATAAGCAGTAAGCTGAGGCTTTTATCCAATACCGTTAATACCACTATCTTCATTGCAATTGGATCTTCCCATAGTGAATTTGTAGGGGACCAGTTACAAAGCCCATCACTCCTGATTCCAGGAGTCTCTCTTTGTTTTTCCACGCTTCTCCTCAAGCCCTGGCAGGACACATGGCCTCGTGTCTCGGGCCCTGTACTGAGCTGATTCCAGCTCATAGCAACCCTTGCCAATAGAACAGAAGAGTTTTAAATCAGAAATCATCCAGGGGGGCTGCATGCTGTGTCGCAACCTACTGACGTCCTTTCTCCTTTCCAGAAGGGAGAGCGTGTGCTGTGGTGTTCGACTGCAAGTTCATCGAGACCTCGGCCGCCGTCCAGCACAACGTGAAGGAGTTGTTTGAAGGCATCGTGCGCCAGGTGCGCCTGCGGCGGGACAGCAAAGAGAAGAATGAGCGGAGGCTGGCCTACCAGAAAAGGAGGGAGAGCATCCCCAGGAAAGCCAGGCGCTTCTGGGGCAAGATTGTGGCCAAAAACAACAAGAATATGGCCTTCAAGCTCAAGTCCAAGTCCTGCCATGACCTCTCTGTGCTCTAGGTGCCCGGCTTCACGTCACTCTGATGTCCTCCTGGATGGACATCGCCGAAGGCTGTTGGGACCGATTCTCAATCTATATTAGATTGGATACTCACGTATGGTTAGATGTGGCTCCCCCATTGCAGTTGGGAATGACGGTGTTACCCTCATGGACAACACGATGCATGAGAAATGAAAGATCCTTGTAAAAAGTCCGTATTTATTCACAGGAAAAGCCTTGTCCTTGCTACTTGAGCACCAGAGACTCATGAGAGGACCTGCCTGGAGTCCTCTCGCCTTTGGACAGTCGAGAGAGGAAGGCCACAAGAGAAGGTCTAGATGAAAATCTCCCCGTTATGAGAATCCCCCCCAGTGTTCTGAGAGGCATTTTTGACAGGCGTTTTTGAGGCCCATGGGTCACAAACAAATACAGGAGACTTGTCAGGGGTTCAGTCATAGGAGAGCTTTCTACTTAGAGTGTGTATTCTCCGGGGAGCTTGACTGTAGAGCTGGGCTCATCGTATCATGACTATTATCTCCATAAAGCTGTGAACAGAAATGATGGACCTTGCTGGAAACTAAAGCTTAGCACGTAGTTTGTGCTCAGTGTCCCCCGTTGGGAATCCAGAGACTTGTAGAACTGGGGACTGAGTTATTGACAACAGATGGGTTCAAAAATTATAGCTTTACTTATGTGTCGTATAGTTTTGGTTCTTTTTTTAAATCCAGGAGAAGGTCAATGTGGCCAAATTCCATTTAGTGGAATCACCTTTTATGTGTTTTTATTTTTTAAATCACCGAGCCATCAAAAATATTTTTTTTAATTGGAATTATTGATAACCTGAAGTGCAAGATGCCAATTTTTAAAAATCGTGTCAGCCGTCTGAATTTTGATAAAACACACAACATGAACACTTTCATATTTTGGGTTGATCCTTGTATGCCACAGCTCTGCTCAATCATTATTTTGCAAAATAGCCACCATTTTAATATTTGATAAAGTATATTTATGAACATATTTCTTGATAGGGAAAATTGCCCATTTTATTACCATTTCTATATTTTTCAAAATATACAAGTTTTTACCTATATGTCTTATAATAAAAGAAATAAAATCTTTCAGAAAAAAGTCATCCTTAAGTGTTTTTCTGCCTCAAGCAGGATAATGACGATGATTTTAAAATTTTATTATTATTATTTTTAAATCATTTTATTGGGGACTCATACAACTCTTATC